AGCTTTTTAGCTCATACAAGGCATATACATACCTACTCAGGAGACTGGTTCCATTTTATTTGCAATTAATATTTTAAAATTAAACCAAGATATTTTAGAAGCTAGAATACAGCTTTGTCATCTAAGAGCAATCCACTAACAACAAAGGTTAGATTAAATAGATGAGGGTGTTCCTTGCAGGTATAACTCAGTAAGAGACTGCATGAGCACATTATGTTGCAGGTGCTTATATCTCCTGAACATTATATTGAACACTGACCTCGGGCAGGTCTAATGTGTAAAAGAGCTAATGAGATTGCTCTGACTGCATGTCACATACTCCAGAGCACGTTAAATAAATCAGTAAAAGGTGTAAAATATAACGTTCTTTTTAAGTAAAAATTCTGAGCCAAATTAAACACATGAAATTTCTATTTGCAGGCAGGAGCTGATGCAGCTATCTGGAGGTAGACCTGGGTCTCTTGAATACAGGAACATTACAAGAGATGTCTCTGAGAAAATTGTGTTTTCTATTTTCAGGCAAATCATCCTTCCTTCATTATCCTTTAATATATGTTTAACATGAACGTTAATGAAATGTTTAGCATGAGAAAAATAAAACAAAAATGTATGTGTATGCTTTGATTTGTTTTAAAGAAAGACATTCATAGCTATCAGTTCTGCACTAGGAGCTGAGGAAACCCCATGGAGAACCAGTGGGAAAGCAACAGGCACGCTGTTGTGTGGAAGAAAACTTGCTCACAGCAAGGAGGCCGATGTAAACTAACCCTGCAAACGGAGTGACTGCAAACGGAGCCTTTGAGACTGGTACTGAAGCAGCTTACCATGACACCTACAACAGGCATTATCCATAGTCACACACTGCAGTAGCTTCTGGTGGGTCCCTAACATACTCTGCAATGGAGAAGTACATTTGAAAACATCACAGGTATCACCAAACATTTTAGGTAGAAAAGGACCCGGGAGGATCACCTCAACACCTCAGTCAAAGCAAGCTCCTGTAGCTCAGATTGCTCAGGCCTGTCAAGTTTTGAATGTTGCCATGAATGGAGGCACCACAATATTTGGTACCTGACAACCCATTCCAGTGGTCAATCATCTTAATGGTAAAAAAAGATTTTTCTTATACTTAATATTCCAGCTTGTATCCACCACACTTTTCCTCTCTACACCCCCCCACAACAGAGCTGCATTTGACAATAAGATCCCCCCCTAATCTTCTCTCCACGAGGCTGAAGCAGCCCAGCCAGCTTCCTCGGCTTTTCCTACGCCATGTGCTCCAGCCCCAAATGCTTTGGTAGCCTTTGCTGCGCTCACTCCAGTACATCCAAATCCCTCTTGCAGGGCGGGAGCCCGGATGGGCTTCAGCACACCACATATGGCCTCACAAGTTTGGGCTATATTTTTTAAACCACAGCTTTGGAGTGTGCACAGAATTAAGTCATACAAGATCTCTTCCAACTGGCAAAATAAAAGCATGCTAAAATTGTAATACGTTTTACGTGCTAATAATACATTTATATATGTACTGCCAGAGGAGTGAGGTTTTATATTCACATGGGATGAAACATGCAAAATAAAGGTGTGATACATGTGGCTAACATGAAAATAACCTTACTACCAAGAAAAAGAGAGTTACGCTCCATCGTACACAAGAATGGGTAACTAGATCGTCAGGCGTGGCAAGAAAGCTCACTGCTGGGAGATAGAAGCTTGCTTAGTGTTTTCAGAATTTGTTGCATGTCCTCTTGCAACACACACTTAATCTTTTGGCAAGAA